AATAACCACCAACTGCAAACATTAAACGAATGCAGGTGTTGGACTGAAGAACAAATTGGGTAAAACTAAATAATTGGCAGCAATAAGGACAGCTAACTGGAACAAGAGAAAACACACATCTGGGAAGAACCACACTTGTAACAATCATGTTCAAACACAGGCAGAAAGTTACAGTTCAGCTGTCAGTATGAACAAGCTGTATCAATTGTCACGGTTAGGATTTCACAAGGTTAAGTGCAGCTTTTAATGAAGGAAAGCATTTTCTCCTTTTCCATTTTCTTCCCATTATCAAAGAACAAGTGCAAGATTTCTTACACACAGTAACACAGAGGTGCCCACTGGAGTCAAATGACAACGAAAGTTCTCCTCGGTTTTTCTTCTAAGTAACTCTTGCAAGCAGATTTTTATTAAACCCAAATCACTGACTATACAAGTAACTTTGCATTCCAGACCTTTGTAAAATATGAAAATTAAGAGCTATATGCCCCAAGTTGCATTAAAATGTCAAAATGCGTGAGTGCATTGTTAAAGAAAGTGAATAACAGCAACTCCCACAGATTTCACAGTTGATGCTAGACACCGATGGTCTTAAAAAGCAAGAAACCAAAACACAATACAAAACCTCACTACACTTTAGAGTTCTTAGAGATGCTGACATAAACCCAGTACTACCATCAGTTTAATAAACACCTCTGAAAATACGACAACAAAGTGCACAACTATGGAGTTTTATCACTGATGTTCTCAAGATGCAACTCTAAGGCATAGGATTTCTAAAAGGCAAGTCCTGACAGCAGCACAGATTCAGAGAAAAAGAAAAAAATTAACACATACACACGTCTGTCCCCCTACAATTTACGATTATTTTCATGTCAGGTTGTGTACCATCCACAATTCCAGAGATTGAATGACAGTGCTTAGTGCTATCATAACTCTCAACTTGTTCTGAAATAAGGGAAATGTATGAGGAAGAGACAGTTTCTAGCCCCAGTAGGAACCAAATAAAATCCCTTACAGTGAATTCTAATCAGACACCAGCAGCACGGCTAGCTGATCCACAGCGAAATGAATATGACAGACTGGGAGATATGATGTCAATGGTATAAATTACTGCAAGTATAGGAATTATATCTGGAAAAAGGAAAGAAATTGCAGAGTTTGACAGTACATGTAACCTATCTTAAATGCTACAAACCAGAGTAATTTTAAAGGATTAAAATACACCTTTACAGTTTACCATCTTTGAGAAAGCTGGGGCAGCCTCTGTATTTTGTGCCTGTGATTTACAGGGTCCTATTCTCTGCTAGTCTCTCTCTAATTTGTCTGCCGGATCTGATTACCAGATGGCTAAAATAAATGTATTGTGTTCATTCATGGTAACAGAAGTTGTCTTTAAGGGTTCTGTCACGGCTTCACTATCTTTTCCTTTGTACCTACTCCTCCCTCTGTGAATTGATTAGATTTCAGAGCTAAGTTTCATCTGAGGGCCATTCTGCTGAATGCTGCATTGAAAGCATATTATCTATTTCTAGGAAGCACATACAGATGACCACAGGATATCAGAGACCTGTCCTAAAGCAAGAACTGCCCTGCTCTGCCAACAAAATAGATTGTTTGATAATCTCGGGACATGGATTTCCAGGATAAGTATCTGTCACTGACACACACTCTAATGCAATCCAAGAAATAGGTGACAGTTGGATAGAAAGAAGGAAATGAAAAGCAACATATGCACAGCGCAAAGTCAAGGAAGGTAACGAGACTAAATTGAAGACAGACAACAGCAGACAAATTAATGACTGGGAGAGCTACCCTTCACCTCAGGAGTGGCAATTGCTCACTACATGGTTTTGTGTAATCTGGTAAACCACTACAGATGGGCAAGTAAAGAAGCTAAATGAAAGAAACGAAAGAAAAGGGCATGAACACACTGTAGCATGAGGAACTGTGTATGGTCTACACATTGTCTCCTTTCCTTAAGTAAAGTTACACATGCAATTGGTAATCTGAAGTGATAATACTGTCCTAGAAATCTCTTAGATGAGCCCATCCTTGAGCACTTTTGCTACACATGTGAACAAGGTTCTTTACCCAACACATCTCCTCCTGCAATCAGATGTGTTCCTAATCTGAATTCCATTTTGTAAATATCTAATATGATTTATCAGCACTTCAATGTTATTCATCTATCCATTATCACATGCATATCTTGGGGTTTATTTTCAGTTTAGTACAATAATTCTCTGTCTGTTAGTTAAAGCTTGGATGGCACAGAACTGGCATTTGAAGAGCTTTTTATATATACGAAAATCAGTGTAGTGAATCACGTAGCCAATATTTAAGTGATCAAACTGACTGAACACAGAGTGACTTCAGCACTAAAATAAGGTGAAGGCTATATCTCAAAAAATACAAACCTGTTTATAACCTCATGTAACATTGCCCACTTTTCCTGAAGCATCTCTACTAAGTTTAATTTTTCTAATTGCACACTGGAAGCTTCAGTGGGAATTATATTTAAGCATGGTAAAATAAATTTTTTAAAAATATAACCCAGACTTAGTGCAGTATAACCTTTGGTAACATTTGTCAATCCTCCTCTTTATTTAAACTATACTTTTAGACTTTCAAAATTTTCTAGCCCAAGAGCATTAATTGCCAAGCATGGCATTTGGAAAATAAAGAGCTCAGAACACTTGAAAAAACAGAAATTAAAAAAAAATTAGTAGGCAATACACCTATGTATTTCTTTAACCACAGCACAAACATATGGTCGTAGCAGTGGGATATATTTTCTTTGTATACTGAGAAGGTTATAAGTATTTTTGACAGTTATAAAGGGGCAGTCTTTGCCATACACAAGAATCAATAACAACTATGTAAAGCCTACAGCAGTGCACACTAACAGGCTGTAGGAGACATTAACACTACCTAAAAGAAATAACTGTATTTTCAATGAACTTGTTCCTCCTGGATAATCAATTTTTTACACTTCTTACCAGCTGTTCCCACATAGCTCAGGTAGCAGAATGGAAGCAGCTGTCATACAGAATCCATATATTACATGCATGTTATGAGGTTTTAATCTGTCATAGATGTTTTATGTTTGTTAATTTTGATCGGTCATAGCAACTTGAGAGCAAGATGAAAACAAATTCACTACTTGATGTAGTCTACACAAATACATTAATCTGGCTTGATTCATTCTGAATGGTAAAAAAAGAATACTAATTGTGAATCTGCTAATGCCCCATCCTCAAAACCCCTTTATTCCAGAAGTAAGATTTCATCATTAAAATCAGTTTGCCCCACCGCCCACATTCAAGAGATTTGTCACAATCATTGTTTCTGAAATATCGAGTTATAAGGTGCCGTAGTAATTACTATGGAATAAATAGCAATTAAGATTGTTCACACGAATAAGCTCAAACTGTTTGCAGTGAATAATTATGCTAATAGTGTTTTTCTACATAATTTGTGCATCCTTCACAACAATTTACTAGAAAATGTAAAATGTAAATTTGATGCACTACTACAAAAGCTCTGAAAATATGTTTAGTTCTTATGATTTTTGCCACTAATTTAAGAGAGCACACAACTAAAACATACTTCTACATTTGTACTTCTACATTTCTGCATCTAGATTTGAAGAAATCAAACTATGCTGAAACTGAAGCATTTTCTTTCCTTGTATTCCTATGAAACCATCCTAAACCACATGCAACAGACATACTCACACTGCTTAACAATATTGTAACACAAATTAGAGCAATTTGAAAGAAGCTGAACTTACTGCTATATAATAAACTTTAGCCTTTTCCACCAGCTTCCAGTTCTTCTCCAAATCAAGATGCTTTTCCTTCTTGTAGCAATTAGCAGCAGCAAGGTTTGCTACAAGAGACCTAAAGTGATTAAAAACCCCAGACATTAGATCCTCTGTAAATAACACTGCTACAAATTTATCACAAAGAATGTAATTTCTCTAAGATCCTAAGGAACATAAAAGCAATTACAAAGAGAACCATAAAATACATACATGTCGTTTGACCATTTCAGAATATTTTAAATAATATATTAAAATAATCGATTAAGCACAATTTAAATTTAAATCATATATTAAATAACATATTTAAACCATATATTAAAAAACATAATTTAAATCCAGATATATAGTTTATGTAGCCTAACACTATTATATTGTTCAGGTGCCTTCATTTGCTTAGAATCAACCTTTTTTGCACTCTGGGATCAACTCCCTCTGTATGGTTTAGCATCTGCAGATTTCCATTAAAACTATTCTAGTACCTGACACCCTAAGAAAAGTAGCTACTCCAGTTTATCTGCTGAAAAATATTTTCCCTCACTGGAAGCAAAACGTTGATGGACATTTAAGTCTTGCTTTTATAATTTTCCAATGAATAGTTATATTCTTTAAAAAAGGGGGTTATTTGGGTTTTTTCCCCCCATTAGGTTCATATTTTCCTTTAGCAAATAAAAAAGGATCATGTTGCTACTTTTAGATGATGAACTGTTAAAAAAACCTTTGGCTTAGCTGTATATTACTGGAAAACTACCAAAAACTCATTTGTACTTCCTTCTTCCCTAACAAGTTATAACACAAGCCGTGGGACACAACTTCCATTAGCAAGAACAAAAATACTTGTATCATATTGCCTGTTACATGCAAGATATACTCTATTTTAAATCCTCTTCTTCACCCACTCAATTCAGCCTTATGAAACACACAAAACTTACAGAGGTACTCCTAAAAATAGGTCACAAATAGATGGTTATGCACTGGCTCTCCACTCTGGCTACCATGACCAAATTCTTCTGTGCAATTTTATAATGAGAATGTTTCATAACAAGCCGTATTCAGAGAAGGGGAGTTGGGGAAACAGCTATTTCCATGCTGGCATACAGAGTTGCAAATTTCATTTTTAAGATTTATTAGTCATAGGATGCCCTTTAACATTAACACATCACTGTTTTGTGATATTTAAGTACATTAGTCAGACTGAAAATGTGTAGTTACACATACAACATATGGCTATTGAAAACTTTGGCCTTCTCAAGGTGCATACGATTGGTGTTGTATGCATCATCCTCTTCCATATAAATGCTACTACAATCCAGAGACAGTGATTAGCAAATTGCTAATCAGCTTCCACCAAGTTATGCTTCTGGCTCCCGGCTGATTACCATGTACAGGTGCTAGGAGGTAAGTAAACTAGGAATTCTCAAAAACTTATTCAATTAAAAAACCAAACAAAGGCCAAAAGAATCTCTTATGAAGACAGCAACCAAATCTCCCTGTAAACTTTCTGAAGCACCCCTCACTGACAATCCCTGTAAGTTAAATAGATCAAGTGTACAAAAGTTAAAACAAAGTAGACTGTCTTTTTCTGAATATATAAAAAAATACAGCTCTGTGTCATTTCATCCCATGAACAGTCTTGGGGCTTATCTTTTTAATTCAAAAGCCTAAAGGCAATTAGAACTAATGTGAATTTGGAAAATTAAAAAAAGGAAATAAAGGAAAAAGACTTGTGACAAGTAGACCAAGCCTCTGCAGCAATCCAAGTAACAGGGCAAGAAGTTTCATTCTTGATGAGCATTAGCATTTCAAAGACAAGAAATTCACTATAGAATCAAGTAAGTCCAAGAAAGACATGTGCATAACTGTGGCAATTTTCTGTAAATCAAATTTTAAAAGCAAATTAAATCTTTCAGTTTTGGCAAAACCTAATTATCTATCAAGGATATAGCTGGAAAAAAATCTTCTCTGTCTATGTATGTTGCTAAATGAAAAGCAATTAAGTTCCAGAAAACTGAGCAAAGACTTTCTATATGTTTCCTTTCACTTACCACATGCCCCTGAAACTGTAAACCTAGCTCTCTGTGGTTACATCCAACTGTAGAGATGCTCTGCACATATGTGTAATAAAAGATTGCTACACTGGAGACAAAGCACCAAGCTTTTCCAAATTAAAACTGTAAGTCTGACAGCACTGAGTTCAACATGTGGGACACAGACAGGGTAGATATTTTTTCAATGAAATACAATAATTGGAGACAGCCAGAGTGCTTCGATGGAAACAGCTTAATGGACACACAGTGCATGTGGGCATTTCTAAGCAGAATGCACAAACAGAAGTCACAGATTTTGATGGAGCATAGGTACTACTTTAGAGTTTGATCACGTGGTATGATTTTCTTGAAAGGCTTTGAGAAAACAAAGTATATTAGTATTGCTTAATTAGAGAATTAGGGGTGGAAATCATGTATCAGCTCAGAACCCTTTCCTGCAAAAAGCTAGACAGAGTTCTCAGAAACAAGAAACATTCATATTGGGACATCTGGAACATAAATGTACACAGCCACTTCCTGATAAAACCATGAGTGCTCTTAGCCAGCTCCTCCAAAAGAGAGAAGAGAGATGAATTACCCAAAGAAGGAAGTTAACATATACCTCAGCTGGAACAAGAGATTAATCAATAAATAGAGTTATCAGCCAGGGCCAGGTTGAAGAGATTCTTACAAATATAGAAAATGCTAAAACCCAAGAAACAATCACAGAAACAATTACAGATTAAGAACAAGCTTGCTCTCACTAGAAGAGGGGTGACTGCACAATGAAGCCCTTAGCAGCATCCATCAGCTATTTTTTCTGACTCCTGAGGAGCTTGAACTCCTGCCACTCTCAAGCATGCTCTAAAACATTGAGATGAAACCGATCTCTACATTTTGAGCAAATATTTGATATTAAGAGAAAAAAGTATTTTATGTTAGCAAACCAAAAATACTGCTTAATAAGAAGTATTTGCAGACACTTTTTAAGAACAAATTTACCTAAACATCTAAATTCCATTGAGATGCATGTTTTTCCTGGATTCGTGTTGTATGCCTACTCGCAGTCTTGAACTCAGTTGCTCATCATGTCATCTAGAAAATGGTGATTGCTGCAGGATGCATACACAGACACCATGTGACCAAAGAGAGAGAATTACAGAGCTAAAACATCGCTATTGCTTGTCTTCTCTTTGAAAAACTGAATGTGGATCTTGTAGATGAAGGGGGAAGTCCGTAGACATAATTAATGTCAAAACTCCAGATGAAGATGAATGAACTACCTTCCTCCACTAAGCACGCACATTCATTCCTGAGAGTAAGATATTATGCACGATATGAAATTGGGAGGGACAGGTTGATAAGCTGGAGGACAGAGCTGTCTGTCATTCAGTGGATCTTCAACAGCCTGGAGAACTGGGCTGACAGAAAACTTGAAGATAAATGCAAAATCATGCCACTAGTATGGAATAAATACCATGCAATGATATAGGCTGAATGTTGACAGGATACAACACAGCTTTCCAGAGAAGGACCTGGAGATGCTGGTGGACCAAGCTGAGAGCATGAGCCAGCAGTGCACTACACAGAGAAGGCTAATCACATTCTGGTCTGTATCAGCAAGCATGCAGCCAGGAGGATAAAAGAAGTTATATATTCAGAACAGAGGAAATCCTCTCTTCTGGTCTCCAGACCTCATCTGGAGTTCCATGTTGAGCTTTGAGCTTTCCATTACAAGGAAGACACTGACATAATACAGTAAGTCCAGCCATCAAGATTATTAGGAGACTGGAACACTTAACGAAGGCAAAAAGACTTGGGAGAACCTTAAGAACAGGTACCTAAGGGGAGACCTTCCTGCTTTCTTCAAATATCTAAGGAAGGTTTACAGAGAAGATGGTGTCAGACTATTCTTGAACACAAGAAGGAACAGACACAAGCTGGAAGAAGGAATATTCCAACTGGGTATCATAAAAATAATTTCTTCCATGAAGAGTGATCAGTTTGTCCAGAGAGCTTGTGCAACCTCCATCCCTTGAGATATTCAAAACCCATCCGGACAAGGCCCTGAAAAATCTAACTTTGAAGCTGGCCCTGTCTTCTGCAGGGGTTTGAACCAGACCTAACTAAAATTTTTCCAGGGTTCCACATGTTATATGGAAAACACTCCCTCCTCTGACTCTCAGTTCAATTCATGTTTCTGCCTACTGCCTTTTCTAATTCTACCCGAAACATTCACCAACTTCTCAGGAAGTTTGGTATGGATTTTAATTGCAGGACTGTTATCTAACCTTAATAAATTCTACTAACAAACTCCTGATACTGCTTTGAAAGAAAAGAGCAGTTCCCCAGGACCAATGAAATTGAAAATGACAGAGGAAAACCAAAGAGGATGATGACAGATATTCTGATCTTATTCTGAGCCAAAAAGAAAAAATTCTTCAGGGTAAATGATAACATTTTCATTATTGATTCAGTATGTAGTATCAGAAAATTTAGATACTGACAGAAATCAGGAAGGGTTGACATGTGCTGGGCACACCTCAAGATTAAGGCTGACCTGACTGGTTTCCTTTGATACCTTTAAAATATTGTCAGAAGGTAATCAGCAAAAGAGTAGAACATAAGTTCAAGTACTGTGGGTAGATGGTAGAAAGAAGAAATCAAAGGTTCATGCTCAAAATAAATTACTATTGTCCTAATTATCTCTTTCTGAAAAGCTTGGTTTTTATCAAATTTACTACAATGCCCAAAACAAATCACTCTACAAACAGGTTCATACTTACAGAATGCTCCAAAACAAATCAAAATACCAGAAAGACCATTGATCATAGTCTACAAATACATGAAAGGCTATATAGAGTTCTGGAGACGTGATTTTTTTCATATATATTTAGCAAAGACCATCCAGGAAAAAAGTAGCAAATGAAAACATGAAAGACAAATTCAGAAGAAATTTTTAAAATGTAGACATACAGAATTACAGATAGTAGATGAACTTCTCAATAAGTGCAAGAGTAAAATAAAAAAAAAAAGCTTTTTCTTCCTCTCGTATAAAATCAAATAAACCCTTTCAATATGGCAATATGCTAACACCCATTCTCGTTAAACACACTATCACCTGAAGTACATCCCTCATTTGCCAATCAAGTATATGCCTTACATGACAATCAGCTTGCAGATACTTGTTAGCCAACGTTGTCTCCCACATATTTTCTCTCTCTAAAGCAACTGGAAGCTATAAAGTTCAGAAAGAAGCAGTAGAGTATTATCCCACACTTTCTGGCCATAATACAACTGCTGTTCTCCAAAAGTGTATTAATAATGCCCAGCCCCATTTATGGCCCAGGCAGTCTTGTGCTGTCTCAAACTAGGGCTAGTATGTTGTTTATCATTCAAATTGCAGTTTTTCAAGGCTGGATACTCCAAACCATTTAGGCCACACACACTAGGCCAACTGCATTTGTATCTTCAGAAAACATCAAAGGCCCCTGACCTGTTATCACTAGTGATGCAGGCAGCACAGGTTCCTGTTGGCTCTTCACTCTGCTCATAATAATGGGCATCCACGTGAGCTTCCTCAGCCTTCTTCTTCAAGATCTCTCCAAATTTATCTTTGCCAATGCATCCAAAGAAAGTTGCAGCTTTGTAAGGGCTCTGAATCATCCACTGCAGATTGACAAGAAAAAACAGACACAAAACAAAACCAAAGTTAGCATGCCTAGTAGATTAGTTTTGCCATTTTTTACTCTCTGCTCACCATATTTAACTCTGTGCCTACAGTGCACTTTGACATACAGAACACTTTTATGCCTGAAGTAAAAAAATCTGGTACAGCAAGGGAGGGAAGGGCAGCAAAGAACACAAAATTTACCCACTGAATGTTTCACACCTAATGTAAAACTTAAATACATGCAGCTTATTATCAAATAATGTAGATTAGTATGTTTTTACAAGGCATTTAAAAGAAGTTCCCTTGCTCAAAGGAGATGCCCCTCACTAACATTTAATCAATATATGGTATCGTCAAAGAAAAATTGCAGAAAATACAAAAGAAAGAAAGCGACAAAACTAACCCAAAAAACCCCCCAAAAACATCCCACAAAAACCAAGAGATAGCACATAAGGAGCACAATACATTTGAAAAACCTAAGAAACATTGTGCAACATTCACAATACATATAAAAATTAAATGGTACTGAAAATAACCATTTGTGTCTACCATTTAATTACATGCAAAAGAAGAAATGCTCCCTACTTACATTGTTAAACCACACATAAAAATATCTATTCCAACTTTATTAAGAGCAGTTCTGTCACTTGAATTGTAAAGAGAGAGCATAGCTGCACACTGTTGCTAAGGTGCCAGGTTATTTCATACAGCTCCTCTTTTATTAATACAAAATATGTTATCATTCAGCTGTAAATGTAACTCCATTTTGTACTAAGTTAAAAAATAGCATTTATCAGCAATGTGAAATCAAGACTGAACTACAAAAATAATTGTGAAGAAACAATCATAGGCCTTACGCTGCTGGTGGTGAGTCAACCAGCTGAAGTCATTATAATTCACTCTAATTACAGTCAGAAAGCTTATCCACTCAATCTATAGTATGAATTAGAGGCTACATCAATTTTCTGCTATACTAAAACCCTACTTATAATTGTTTCCTAATCAAGATTTAAATAAACGATAATGTCTCCATTACAAAGCAGCATTAGTGGTAGCTGTGGGTTGTAGAAAGGTCAAGTAACTAAGTTGCGAATACATACTTAGTCACATTTTTATTACTTCCAACTCCAGAGGGGACAGAGAGAATTAGAAAAAAAAAATCAGGCATGTAAAGTCTTCATTAATAAGGCAAAGGTGGACAAAAGATATGAGGTCTCTTTTCTGCAGTAATTTAATATATATATATAGGTTTAAGGCCACAGAAACGTTGTATCATCAGATGGCAGCAGCGCTCAGTCTCTCACTCATGAAATGCACACTGCAGATGCTCTGCTAATCTATTCCATACCACTCTAATATAAATTAAGAAAACCCCTAATAAGAGAATTGATACATTTCATACACATTTGCACAGTGTTCATTTAGGATGTCTCAGGAACAATAATCTTTTATACCTGGAGGTATGGTTAAGTAGAACAGATTATTTAACAAGATTAAAGATGTTGTGACCTACTGTAAGCAAATATGGAACAAATTTCCACACTGATAAGAAGTACCTGAAGCCTTGTGTCAGATGCAAGCATGCCTTACTGTCATAAACAATAATTAACAGAGATCACTATGAACTATGCTTATCAAAGCATCAAACCCCAAGAAATCTTACAAAGACATGAGACTTCAAACTGCACCTTAGGCTTACAACATTTTATCAAATGAGGTAACTTTTCTGTACTTTATATATAAGTCTGACAACATTTGGAGCAGTAGTAAGTAATATTTCACATAAATCTCTGAAAAAAGAATTTCTGTTCAAGTATCACAGTTTTGGCTATTGGCAGCAGCTCAGTTTGAAGTCAGATGTGATACATGCTATATATAAGCTGCCACAATCCTTGTTTTAAATTTAAGTCAAGTTACACTTGAATCAAAATTCATGATCTAGGAATTCTTGAGATGAACCTCTGTATATTGTGCAGACCACTTCTTCCACTAGCAGTGGTGCTACTCCTATTCATGATTACTTGAAACACAGGTATTATATGCTGAGGGAATACTCCCACTATATAGCTGTTCTTTTCGTTTGAGCATCTGAGTTAAGTTAAGCAACACTGAGGAAGAATGAAAAGTAGTTCAGCAGTGTTTCTGGAAAGATCTCAGATCTCCAGTTACCAATACTTCCAGTTTCTTGGAATTGTCTGCACATATTCCCACAATAATGGTGGTGAGGTGTTGCCACTTGCAGAGCTCCTCCAAACTGATCCTCCTTTCCCCAATAAGGGCAAAACCAGACATCACATTACAAACTTGAGGAAACTGAATGGTAGAAGTATCTCTGTGGTATATAACTGAACTTATACCTAGTGGAATGAGTCACAGCAGG